TTTGAACAAGTTGGGGAGGGAGAGCGGCTTGTAGTTGTTGCTACAAATGTTGCTGAAACATCTTTAACTATCCCAGGGATAAAGTATGTGGTTGATACCGGAAGAGAAAAGGTGAAGAATTATGACCCCTTTAATGGCATGGAGACATATGAAATACATTGGATAAGTAAGGCATCTGCTGCACAGCGTGCAGGCAGATCTGGAAGAACTGGACCTGGACACTGTTACCGTCTCTATTCTTCTGCAGCCTTTAATAATGAATTTCCTGAGCACTCTCCTGCCGAAGTTGAGAAAGTACCTGTTCATGGTGTTGTCCTTCTCTTAAAATCCATGCATATTACAAAGGTAGGTTAAGTGTATTACTTTATCCGTTGATGTTCATTGCATTTGCTTTTTTTAAGTCGGGTACTATCATTATAAGATATGGTCGGAAGTAGTTCATTATGTACTCCTTTCAGATAGCTTGGCTATTTATGATGGGCTGAGTGAGGAAATGGAATCCTTCATAACACAAATGGTCTTATGCAACATATATCATTAAGAAGATTGCATTCATTTATTTTGTTGTTGTTTGGCTCTAAAACATTATAATCTCAAATTTTATCCTGCTTTGTCAATGTTGTTCTATATAGTAATATTTATCAAGTTTTACAAATGGCTGTTATTTATTCATTTCTCACCAGGTCAAATTGGATTTTCCTTTCCTTTTTTTATTTTGTTTATCAGTTTGAGGTATTTTTTACTCATTAATTTTGCTTCTCATCCAGGTTGCAAATTTCCCATTTCCTACATCACTTAAAGCTGCTTCTTTGCTCGAAGCTGAAAATTGCTTGAAATCTCTTGAAGCACTTGATAGCAAGGATGAACTTACACCATTGGGAAAAGCCATGGCACATTATCCCTTGAGTCCTCGTCATTCTAGAATGCTCCTCACTGTTATTAAAAACACAAGACATGAGCTTAAATGTAATTTAAATTTGCTTTTGGCATATGCTGTTGCAGCTGCTGCGGCATTGAGCTTGTCAAATCCTTTTATAATGCAATATGAAGATGATAACAGCAGAGATTCGAAGATGTCTGAGAAATCTGGAATGGGATATGGTGAGAAAGACTTTGATAAAAAGGGAAAGTCAAGCAGAAAGAAACTAAAAGAAACGGCTAAAGTTGCACGAGAAAAATTTCGAGTTGTCACTAGTGATGCCCTCACCATAGCATACGCTTTACAGTGTTTTGAACATTCACAGAAATCAGTAGAATTCTGTGATGACTATGCTTTGCATTTCAAAACCATGGATGAAATGTCCAAACTTCGACAACAGCTACTTAAACTGGTCTTTTATCAGATTGATAAAGGTGGTCTTGAAGAAGAGTACTCATGGATCCGTGGAACATTAGAGGATGTTGAATGTGCTTGGCAGGTTTCTTCTGAAAAGTATCCACTTTCTCTTGTTGAGGAAAGGCTAATCTGTGAAGCAATATGTGCTGGCTGGGCAGATAGGGTTGCTAAACGTATTACATCTTTTTCTAGGGCCTTCGATGGAGAGAAAACCTCTCGTGCCTTAAGGTATCAGTCATGCATGGTAGATGAAAGTGTTTTACTTCATCGTTGGTCATCACTTTCCACTGTGGGCCCTGAGTATTTGGTTTACAATGAACTATTGGAGACCAAAAGACCAAAGAAAGAAGAGATAAGTACCAAGAGAGCGTATATGCATGGGGCAACAAGTGTAGAGCCAGCTTGGCTTGTTGAGCATGCTAAGTCTTCATGCGTCTTTTCGGCTCCTCTGAAGGATCCTCGATCTTATTATGATGCCCAGACTGACCAAGTAAAATGTTGGGTAACCCCATCCTTTGGCCGTTTCTCTTGGAAGCTTCCAATGCATTCATTGCCCATTAGCAATGATGAAGATCGGGTGCAAGTGTTTGCCTATGCTTTGCTTGAAGGCCAGGTGTGTCCCTGTTTAAAATCTGTTCGAAAATATATGTCAGCTCCCCCTGAAAGTATCATGAAGAAAGAAGCATTTGGTCAGAAAAGGGTGGTAAATCTTTTAAGCAAGTTAAAAAGCAGGCTGATTCATAGCTCTGCTGTGCTAAGAATGGTGTGGAAGGAGAATCCAAGGGAACTATATGCAGAAATTTTGGATTGGTTTCAGCATAGTTTTCACAAGCACTTTGAAGAGTTATGGCTACAAATGCATAATGAATTGCTTATGGGGTCACAACAAGGCCCTAAGCATAAAAGTTCTAGAAAAAAGAAAGGAAAATCTAAAGTACCATCATAATTGCTCAACTTTGAAGGTAAAATCATTATTTAATTGTTTATGTAATCCAAGTTACTAATGTACTTCCTGTATCAACTGTTAATTTTTTTTCAAATCTCTTAAATATCTGTCTTTTCTTGTTTACTCAGTAGCATTAGAAGATTAAAAATATTATTCGAGAAATTTCATGAAGAATTTAGAAAATTAAAAAAATAATTTGAGAAATTTCATGAAGAATTTGATATATAATTTGGGGAGGAGGACCAACATGTTTGGCTGTTGTGAATGTGTTGGGTAAGAGGTTGAGTTATTTTAGTAAGGTGCACTGCCTAGATTGCATCTTCATTCTATTATATAATATNAAGAAAGAAGAGATAAGTACCAAGAGAGCGTATATGCATGGGGCAACAAGTGTAGAGCCAGCTTGGCTTGTTGAGCATGCTAAGTCTTCATGCGTCTTCTCGGCTCCTCTGAAGGATCCTCGATCTTATTATGATGCCCAGACTGACCAAGTAAAATGTTGGGTAACCCCATCCTTTGGCCGTTTCTCTTGGAAGCTTCCAATGCATTCATTGCCCATTAGCAATGATGAAGATCGGGTGCAAGTGTTTGCCTATGCTTTGCTTGAAGGCCAGGTGTGTCCCTGTTTAAAATCTGTTCGAAAATATATGTCAGCTCCCCCTGAAAGTATCATGAAGAAAGAAGCATTTGGTCAGAAAAGGGTGGTAAATCTTTTAAGCAAGTTAAAAAGCAGGCTGATTCATAGCTCTGCTGTGCTAAGAATGGTGTGGAAGGAGAATCCAAGGGAACTATATGCAGAAATTTTGGATTGGTTTCAGCATAGTTTTCACAAGCACTTTGAAGAGTTATGGCTACAAATGCATAATGAATTGCTTATGGGGTCACAACAAGGCCCTAAGCATAAAAGTTCTAGAAAAAAGAAAGGAAAATCTAAAGTACCATCATAATTGCTCAACTTTGAAGGTAAAATCATTATTTAATTGTTTATGTAATCCAAGTTACTAATGTACTTCCTGTATCAACTGTTAATTTTTTTTCAAATCTCTTAAATATCTGTCTTTTCTTGTTTACTCAGTAGCATTAGAAGATTAAAAATATTATTCGAGAAATTTCATGAAGAATTTAGAAAATTAAAAAAATAATTTGAGAAATTTCATGAAGAATTTGATATATAATTTGGGGAGGAGGACCAACATGTTTGGCTGTTGTGAATGTGTTGGGTAAGAGGTTGAGTTATTTTAGTAAGGTGCTCTGCCTAGATTGCATCTTCATTCTATTATATAATATATATTTTTATCTTGATTGCACTCTGCAGGGAAAAAAAACGCACCCCTTTTAGCCACAACATTGGTGAACAAGAAAATGTTGGGAAGCTCCATCAACTGTATTCCTAAACTACCTCAGAACACTAATTTCTGTAGCATGGTCAAGCACATGACTGAACTAATTTATTTTCATGAGAGATGCTTCAGAAATTATGCTTTTCTTTCATCCTCTTTGACATGCTTTTGTGGAAGCTGTATAGTTCCGGGGGGAAAAAGTTAGAAAATTACGTTAGTGAAATTGGTAGGAATTTAATTTGTGCTTCATTAGTCCTGTATCATGCTGAATTTATTGGCTAACAATTTTGTAGTGAGTTTTAGATGCTAATGTGCCAAATTTGAAGTTTGGTGAAGCAAAGAGTCTAGGATAGTTTTGAACAGTACTTGAGCATTGTCCTTAGATATACACTTTCTAAAAAGTTATTTTACACTCCGAAGTTCATCTTATTTCATATTTGATTCCATCTTCTTGTTTGCAGTTCCCTAGTGCGTAATTTATAACAATAATGAAAAGGCTATTGAAAGTTTTGTTGTGTATATTTTCTTGGACTAAATAATCCTTTAACCTCACATTCAATTTTTATTTAACCTCCCATTGCATTTGTATAAATATCTCCTTCCCTTAATTCATTCAATACATTAAAAACCAGACGCCATTTTTCAGACTTATATGTATATTGATTATATTTTGAATTAATATTATATTGTATTATTTTTATTCTTGTAAAGTAAAAGGTAAGTAAAATCATATAAAGGTTTAGTATTTTTTGGGTTAGAATTTTTACTATGTTTTAAATTTTAAAAATAGTCTGTGCATCAGTTAAATTGACCAAAATTACTTGTGTAATCAAATGTCAAATAAAAAGAAGTGTGAAAAAGTTACGATTAAAGTGTACAAGAATAAAAGTAAAACATACAACTCTTAAAACGTAACGTATGAGGAAAACGCCTCGCCCACCGTGGGGCTCGAACCCACGACCACAAGGTTAAGAGCCTTGCGCTCTACCAACTGAGCTAGACGGGCTTACTGTAAGCTTTTTTTCTATAACTTTATATAGATTTATGTACTGAATATATGATGACTTCACTATTATACATTCACAGTTAACTTTTATGGGAATAATACTTCATGATCTTAATTAACGTATGAATAATGATAAATTATTTTTTCACTTTAAAAAGAGTAAAATATTAAATTACATTACACACACATTCATATAAAATGTTAGCTACATTATTTTTTATATCTTTGTTGAGTCTTTAAATAGTTCTACATAAACAAAAAGTTTGACTAAATATATTTTTAATATTGAGCTTGATATAGTGATATATTTGAGGTACCAAAATATTCAATCACTGGGTTTGAGGGGACATAATAATACCTACTAGTTAAGTATAACCATAATGCTGTCAAATGCTTATGAAGGAAACCCAGTTTTAACTTTCAACTGATGAAACTGTTCTGGCAGACACATGAGATAAGTTTGCGAAGTAGAAGCATAATTATAAGAAGGCCTTGTGACAACCATTTCATTTGCATGGTAACTCCAGAGCCAAAACAACATAGAAATTTCAGATGCTGAAGAAGTCAAGGGTTGTGAATGAAGGCATCAAATTGTCATTGGGGTGATGAGGCTTGAAACTCTGGCAAAGCTTTGTATGTTTCATACAACCTACTCAGTGTAGGGAATTTGGACTGCAAAAACTCACAAAATTGTAAATGTTCATAATATGCAGATGATTTATAACTTCTTCTCTCAGGCAGAAGTATTTATTGTGATTGAAAAAGCATATTATGGAGAATGATTATAAGAAATACTCCACATTAAGAGTGAAATGAGCATAAACTACTAGTGTAATAATGCATGTAGAATAGCATGTCAATATCTAAATATCTACCACCATAGACATCCCCTTAAGCTGAACTAGCCGTGAAAGTTATAGCATTTTTCTTTTCAACCATATACACCAAACTATTTCAAACTGAGCACCACTAAAGCCTTTTAGCATCCATATTGGTGTCAAAGCCTCTAAAATTAAGACCAGTAGTCTAAATAAAAGATTTTCCAATGAGGAAAGATAAAGTGAGAAATTGGAAATAAGATTTGCAAGAAAAGTATCTCAATTACAGCTGTGTTACCCTCTATTAGCCCTCATACACTCTCTTAACCACTTGTCTCCTATCAGAAGTGATTAGAAACTGTTTATTTTAGTGCTTCTTGTGTAACCACATAAAACCAAACATGAACCCAAAAGAAAGGTTCCAGGTTTGAACAAAATGCTATAACCCCAGTTGTTTCTTATGGCTTTAGAGTCACTCGTAATTTTATAGTTCTTTATAAAATGCCATTTGCTAAAGCTATTTCTAGGGAAAGTTAACATGATTTTCTCAAGTGTTTACTGCATTCTCCAATCTGTTATGCAGTTATTCACCATTCGAAACAACTATTTATAAATCATCCCATATATTTTAAGACCATCTTTCTTTAAAAATGTGTAACTTGTTAGGACCATCTAATGTTAAATTCTAATATTAAGGCATTTTTTAATACCTTTAATTTAATGCTCAGGTCCTAATATAAGTAAGTTTTATTTTCTAAAAATGATACTCCATTCAAATAAAAGACAGTAGAAGAGAAGTGAAGAAAAGAGATGAGAAGAATTCTATATCCACTCTCAACCACTCAGGCTTGTGTACCAATATTTGTATATAATGAAACGAAATATATTAAGAAATTATAAGAACTATACTTTACCATATCGACACCAAACCTCTGAACTGCCTGTTCTATCTGTGGTGCCAAAAATACATCAGCCTGCATAATACAGTATTTTCTTTGTTATGTATGCCTTTCCAGGTTGGAATTATAAGTGTTCAAAATATCACAAAGTTTCACTGTTTCCAGCTAGATCATACATTGTTCATTTGAGCATAGTAAACATTTTAAGTGAAAAAGATGGCATGAAAGTTATGATGAAGAATATGATCCTTTGAAGATCATGAATGTACAAACGAGGGCCCTTAGCTGCAGAGAAAGTTAAAGTTCACTTCCAAAAGAGCAAGAATCTCAAAGTGAAAAGAATTATATAATGCTTGAAACTCATTTTGGCAGCACACTAACATTTCAAAATCTATTATGGAGAAACCCACCATAACAGTTAAAATGTAAATTTTGGAGGAGGAGATTTTTTCAGCCAGACCATGAGAAAAAGGTAAAGAAAGTTCCATTTCCAATTTTTCCTATCTCCATTCAATAAATAGACATCAAGAAATGTTTCAGGAATTGACATTGACCACAAAAAGGAACAGATTCAAAATAAGGCTTCAAATCATATTGAAGAAAACCATTATAGTAAGTAAAAAGAGAAAGAAGGCTTTAGCACAGCCAGATTATACCATATAGATACGTTCCCCTGTGGCATATGTTGCAGAAAAATCCTTCAGTAGCTTTTCAAGAGCTGGACATCGTCCAAGTGAAAGTAAGAGAACTGAATAGTTATAAAAAAAAATTCAGAAAACAAGGAAACAATGGCAAATGGTATAGAATATGCTTACCTGAGAAACCTTTGTTAATGGTAAACTGGGCCCACGGTTTTGATTCTGCACCAAACATTTTCTCCATATCTTTCTGTAGAAAAATGTGTGTAAAAAATCCAAAATATTTGAGCATTATTCGAATCCAATGATTTCAGATCAAAATAATTAGAATGTACCAGAACAGCAAGCATGTGAAGAGGCTGTATACTGGAATGAACAATACTTGCTACCTGTAAAATAATATAATCATCAGATAGTAGCCAAGCTATAGAAAGATTTGAGTAACACATTCACGTTACAAATCCAAATCAATCATCTTGAATTTTACCTGAAGATTTAGAGCTCTGAGCTGTGGATCAACTGGCAACAGTGGCTTCTGAGTATATTTTTCCTCCAAATGCTACCCATAAAGGTAAACGTGAAACACATAAAGTGGCAATTTGAATAACAGAATACCAAACCTAATCAGTGAGATGCATGATTGAAAAGAAACTTGAGCATAAAAAAGTTAGTAGTTTTTCATGTGGAATTGGGTAGAGTACTCAATATTTTCAGTGTCTGTAGCATTAGACTTACCAGAAATATTGCATAAGAGTCTGAAACCACTACATTATCATCAACTAATACTGGAACATAGTGCAGAGGATTCAATCTCTCAAATTCTGAAATTTAAGCAGAAATGGAAATTTTTTCAGTCAACCAAACTTGCCTAACCACTATTGAGTTTGATTCGTAAAGCACTACATTTATTATTGAGCTCTGAATTCACCTGGACTGTATTGCTCTCCTTTTACCAGGTCCACTTCTCTGTACTCATACGGAATTCCTAATCAGATCAAAAGAAAAGAAAATCAATCACGAAACCAAAATTTCTTGAGTCCAATCCAACATTTTCTGTAGTTATACTTTCATATCAAGCTCAGTTATTGTTAATCGAAAACAAAATAAAAGAAGCAATGCTGAGATGGAGTTATTCTATCAAAAATTCAAAATAAAATCCCAAAAATGGAACAAAACTAATTCAATTGGTGTGCTTGGTGTTCACTCATTAGAATTGGAGTTTTGCTTTACTCTTCTGATTTGATATTTAATGAAACCTTCATGAAGCAGATTATTGAAAATCTGATTGAGCAACAGTGCCATAATCTGATTGAACAACAGTACTTAAAGCACAGTGTCATGAAGAAAGGGGTGAGGAAGGAACCTTTGAGGCATAAAGCAAAGCGGATACGCCATGAGCAAGAGCTATGGCAGTAAGAATAGAGCTGAAGATTGGATGAAAATGGTGCATTGCTGCCCTGGTCACTTTTCTGCAGTGAATAAGTCAATTCTATTAATTTTCCAAAATTGAAAACATGACAGTGATTAGTGTTTGATGAAAACAAGGAACAGAAATGAAAGATGAATTACCCGGTTATCTAGCTCCATGTCTGATTCAGATGCTAAATCTATGCATCACTTACTTCTCTTATGTTTTCCCTAACAACAGTCTTTACATTTCAACCAATTTGGTCTCGGAAAAAAGTCTCCTTAATAACTCTTTTTAACAACTTTTTCACTACAACTTCACATCATCCTGATTCATCCATTTCAAATATACTAACCAATAAAATAATCACACATATTATCAAAATGTTAGTAAAAAGAGTTGTTAAAATATCATGTCGTTTATTCTCTACGAAGGATACAACAAACTGGTTTAAGTATATTTTTTTAAGACACAAATGCAAAAGTATTAGCAGGAAGCTAATTCAATTCGGGTTTCGTAGATTTTAAAGATTTTTTTCAAAATACCTTTCATTATTAGAATTTTATAATTTAGATATGTAGGACTTCAATTTTGAAGTAAAATTAAAATTTGTTCTACTGAAAATTTTATTTCTTTTGATTTTTAAACTTTAAAAATTAATAACTATAGTTCTTTAAATATAATATAATTATTTATGTTAATATTTAAATTATTTAGTGTTCGATAGGTTCGAGGTTTTAGTATAAGTAAAAAAACATGTAAAAGAATTTAACAGATTAAAATGATTATATTTATTAATTTTAAAATTTATAAATTAAAATGTATCAAAATTACTTATTTCAATTTCACTCCAAAACTAAAATATATTTAATTTTAATTTATTTTAAATCATAAATTATATATCACTTTCAAAGATTTTTTTCATATTTAAACGAGTAATTTAATCTTATAAACTAAAATAATTTGTCTCGATTTTAATTTATCAAGTGCCTTTTAATAAGTTGAAACAAAATCAACTTCAATACTAAAAGAATGTAAGAGCTGGAAAGCAACTTTTAATAGACTAAAATGTTCTAGCTAGAAAATTCATCTAGTACAAGAACATTTTAACTAATTAAACACAATTTAACCAAATAAAATTAATTTACCTTTTATAAGAAAATTCTAAACACAATTTTACAACTCTAAACCACATTAAACTAGAGAATCAGCATTACAACTCAAATTTTGAAAACTTTATGTGGTTTAAGACATCAAATCTTCTTGAAGTAAGATTGTTTGACTGTTCCATTTGAACACATTTTAATTTACATCCTTCGTCAAACACTTTACTTTGGAAAACTTAGTTTTAATATTTTGAAAGAAGAGGTGTAGATGAAAAATGAGGATTGCATTTGGCTCCATTAGAAGAAACTTAGTGTACATGGGGACTATATTTGAGTTAGTAAAAATACATAAATTTATTAATGGTTAAGATAATGAAAAGGTTTTGACATAGAATTTGACAAATTTTAAAAAGGAAAACACTTCTTTAACAACGTTTTCTTGACACACTTTTGACAACACCACGTGGCGGTTGTCCATTGGCTCAATTTGAAAAAAAAATTCAATATTCAATTAATCAGGGGAGGGTATTATGAAAAAGGAAAAATACGAAATTTCTTTTCACGCTTTCCCTATTCTTCTTTCATTCGCGGTTTGTCTCTCTCATCTGTCTCGTTCTCTCATCTCTCTCGTCTTTCTGTAGAACCCTAAAGCCTTGGCCCATCTTCATCTCCCTCGTTCCTCTTGGTCGGTCTCCCACCTCTGTTATATTATTTGTTTGTGGTGCGACCCAACACCTTGTTGTGAAGTATTGAAGTCGTCTTGGACGTCCTTATCCACCATTGGTATTGTGCCTTCTCGGTGTCGTGTTGTTTTATGGTTTTCGTGTGTTTCTCGAACCCTAACCATCTTCTCGAGCATTGGCGTTTTCGTGTTGGGCGAACCCTAACCTTCGTGTCCACCATTTTTACATTGTGCCTCTTTGCCGCAAGCCACCCAGGATTGAAGTTTTATCCAAGGTTGTAGCATTATTGGGAGTGGATCCTGGACAACGAGAACATTAGAAGAATGGAAGCGCCAACGGAATATGGATTGTTAGAGGATTAATTTCATGTGTAGAGATTTTGTTTGTATTTAGACGAAGATGGATTTTTTGCTTTGTAAGAAACAATGATATTTGTGTACAAGTTGTTATTGCAATAAGATGATAGCTTTCATGATTACTTAATGTGCAATTTCATTTCATTTATGTTGTGTATATTTTGATGACAAAGTAACGTGCAATATTAATAAGTTTTTGACATGAATCCAATGGTTTACAATTGATTTTGGTGTTTACGTGTGAGTAGATTGTGGGAAGTCATGTTTTGGAAAGGATGGAAAGAATTTGCATCCAATATGGCTTGAAGGAAGGAGACGTTGTTGTCTTCGAGGTTGATCACCATTGGAATGATCTTATAGTTGAAGTTCACATTAA